CATATTATCCCGGCACCAATAAAATTTACTCTAAATCAACGTGAAGGATACTTGTTTCCAGCGCATACAAAACAGGTGAGATTTGCCACATAAAAGTGGAAAAGTGTATTTGGGAGAGGAGAAAAGTGATGAAGGATGAGAGAAGTGATCCAGCTAGGGAATCAATTCCAAGCAACATGTAGTTCAAGCACAGAGACATGGAAGAACAAAATGAAGGGAGAAGTGTAAAGAAATTATCAGACAAGGGAAAGCCTAAGTGAGGCAATTTAGGCCTAATAATAACTGGGTAAAGAGAAATTGAGCTAAGTCCTCCTCGCCTAGGTATAAAAGATGAAAGCAAAACTTTTCGGAAGATAATCACATGATGAACAGACTACCAGTGGAAGACAATTAATGGGAGGAGACTGAAGAGAGCAAATGGTCAATAGAAAAACTGTCTTCATGCTCTTTGACAACAGATGTTCTAGCTTTCTTTGTCAATAAAAGCCACTCTCTTCAGAAACTTCAATTGTTTAAAAAAAAAAAAATCCTGTACCTGTCTTAAAAAGGCTGACTATTAATACTTTGTGGTTTGTTTTATGCCTAATAACTGTATAATTACATACAGTATAATTATATACTAGTATATAAGTAGTTTATAAATTGTATCACTCTTTAATGTCACAATTTCCTCCTGTAGTAGGAAAAACACTTTCCAAATATGATGATTTTCCAATCTTTTGTACAGATTTTGATATACTAGACTTTCTTATAGAACTCATATATCATTATATACCTTGAGACATCTAGGAGCTAGAACTAACTTCAAAAAGCTAATTTTCTTTATGTTTCCGTTTTATAAAAAAAAAAAAAGAAAAACAGAGGTTGCACACTGGGCATTTGCAGGTTCCCCTGATATCTTTCTCTATTACAGTATGTCCTTTTCACTAAAGAATTTAATTTAGCCTTGAGAAATAGAAAATGACAAATAAGAACTCCAAAACAGAACAATAAACCTTGGATCATATTTATCAACAGAAAAGAAATGAAATTTTCAAGGCCTAAATTAGGTACTTGTTCAAAAACTTTTCAATATTCAAATACAGAAAATCATACCTGATTGACAACCTCAAAATATACAGCTAAAGTTGTAGTGGGACTGAGTCCACATATTTTCCACTGACAAGTGCCACCTGATCCTATCTCCTGTAAGAATAAAATATAGTATGGTTAAAAACTAGAGAATACAATTTATTACTATATCATATGAAAGCTGAAAAAGGAAAAAAAAAAAAACCCCAGCTCTACAAAGGAAAAAAACATCTATTTCAGGTTTGTAGCTAATTCAACAAACATTAGAAGCTAAAGATTTT